CTCACAAATTTATTTTGAAAATCCACTTCTGATCACCAATTGTAACGAATTAAAGAATTAACTGTCTTAAACAAATTTATTTTAACAATACTTCACTATCACAACTAATTTATTTACACCACTCAGTAACTAACGCTTAATTTATCTTCACCGTTTGTTAACCGCTCGATTCGCTTTCTTGGTTCAGACTACTCTTCGGGACGGAGAGCGACCTTTTTTATATCGTCAACGAACGTTCGGATCCCTCTGCGGATTTCGGGACTCATCCGCATCCTTCCCGCTCTTTCGCGGTATTTCGTGATGCGTCATGCGTCGGTCAGGGCCGGCTTCAGATTCATTACATTATTAAAGTGTTATTTGAATACTAAGCAAATTCAATAATCTGTCCTGCATAATTAGTTTCATCAAAATCCTCTTCAAGTTCATTAGAGTGAATAAATATAAATGTTAAAAATTAGTAAATTGATGGATGTAGCCGTTACAATGTGGTAGGAAATCATAATGAAGAAAAGAGAAATGCACCTTTCTACATAGAAACAAAGAAAGTTCAATTTGTTTTTTCTTCGTTAAAAATTAGGTTAATGAATCTAAGTATGCAGGAGTTTTAATAACTCTTTTCCAGAAGTTTGTTTTACAAGTTTATAGAGCCGACTACTGAAATTCACAAATGACTTTTAAATTCCAGACGATGAAGACTGTCCAGAATGCGATAACATCCTAGAAAATCTGGAAGAAATAGACGGTGAAGCAGATTTATTTGGAATCGACTTCGTTAAGATTTGTAGCGCGAACGCAGCGGCTGAACAAGGTTTGCATACTCTCCCAGCTCTGATGTACTTCCGAAAGAAGAAACCAATGGTGTATGACGGAGATTTGACACAGGCAGATAGAGTGCTTGACTGGTTAACATCTCAAGACGTGTTCGAAATCAAAAACGAAATTGAAGAAGTTAATAAGAAGATGTTGGAGAAGCTTCTGGAAGAAAATGAATATGTTACAGTATTCTTTTGTGAGTATCACGTACTTTCTTCAATAGAAACAGCTCTTGAGAAACTAAAAACTTGTGGCAATACCACAGGCTGCTTCGAAATAATTAAAACAATGTTGCATACATCATTTTGTGATGTCATGGGCAAAAATAATCAAGTTGAATTTTCTCGCTCAGATCTTTAAGTAAATGTAAGTATGTAGTTGATTTTTCTCCCACAGTTACAGTAGGTACTTCATACTATATGGGGTTAGTTTCATCAGGGTGTGAATTGTAGCATATTCCACAGTTGATACTATTATACATCGATCTCAATATGAAAAGAACAGCTTATTAAGATTTTGATTTCGCTAACCTACCTCATATACATACCATCTATACGACCTAAAATAACTTTTCGGCCATTAGAAAATGATCCATTTATGAAAGAACATGATATTTTCAATCTATGTAGAATGGATCTAAGTACAATGTTGGAAAAAGACGAAAATTCTTCACAGATTCTTCACGTGATCGAGTTGTCATCTGTATCTGTAGAGTAGGGAGGGTGAATGTAAGCCCACAGCACTTGAGCCACATGTGACCCTTTGTACATCCTCCCGAGGAGTTGTCCTCCTAGGTCATCGTCCATCCTGTCCTTTCCAGGTCACTAGGAGATGTCTCCTTCATAAGTAGGCCAAGACTCGCCGAACACTCACTCCCTTTGGCAACCTTGAGGTGTCTCACGGCGGCCTCTGCGAAGGTTTTGGTGCAGCGACATTACTGTCGTAGCGCGGCTTCTTCAACCTTCTTGGGGTTCCCTTCGTGGTGGTGCACAAGTGAGGGCGCCTTCCTGCAGGGAATGCCGGTTCCTTGCCTTTATTCAAGGCGGAGCTCTTGACGCCTGTCGCAGGAAGTGCCCTTGCTGTTGGAGGTGGAGTGTGGGAGGAGGGTGCACTTATTATAGTTGCTGCTACTCCTGCCTCTTTAGCTCTTTTTCTCCATTTGGCCTCGACGCCGCAAATGCGCTTGCGCTTTGGCCTTTGTATTACATCACGATGGACATTTTTTTTCATCCCCAGCTACCTTGCATTGAAGTGAGCACTTCTGTCCAGCCTCAAACATACATATGCTCTGCGAATTAGTTCATTCACATGTTTTTCAAAACGAAGGTTCTCAGCCATAGTGACTCCTAGGTTTTCAGCACAATCAACTACTTCGAGTTTATCTTGTCCAGTTCTTGTTTGAAGGTGATTGACAATGTTTCATGATGAATTTCACTGGTTCGGACTTCCATTGTCTACTGTATAAAATGATTTGAAATCCCTGAAACAACTAAAAAAGAATAATTAAATGAATAGCTGAAAATAACAATTATATTAAGCAAAATAAACCTGAAATGAAATAATGGTGAAATATATTCTCCACCAGACATTTTACCAAAAGTTACTATTATTTTTTGAAACTGTACTTTGCAGATGTATTATCTATTACTATTACATATATTGATTCGCAGATGAAATCAATTCAGAAGACAGCAAATCCATACTGGAAAAACTGGAGAACATAGACAGTGAAACAGACAACTTCGACATTACTTTCGTCAAGATGGCGGACGCAAGATACGCAAGAAAATGGGGCGTTACCAATCTACCCGCGATAGTTTATTTCAGACGACGATTCCCGAGTATATACAGAGGAGATCTACATTCCGAGGCCGACGTATTGGAATGGTTGAGAAAAAACCGTTTCCGCCAACCGGAACTCAACCTCTTTATGTATGCCCTTATGGCAATTATTGTCGCATTTATCATATACACGGCGTTCCTACTTCAATGCTTCAAAACTACACCAACGACCACAGTTGTGACGCATACGAAGCAGAGTTAATGATTAGAAACAAATTTCCAAAATGAGGCACTCCCTTCTCGTGGAGGCACATTAGCACCATCATCAGGGATAAGACGATGTTGACAATAACTAAATATTGACTGTAACTAAAAGGATTCTCATAGTTCCTTGATCACTCGTGATAGTGGAACCCAGAGGTGAAACTGTGAATTAAAAATAACTTTTAGAATATTCATACTCAATCCGTTAATGGTAATTTTAATTATTGTCAACTCAATGTAAAACAATTCTCCCATATGCTGGACTTTCAGTTTTTGTTCTGCCGTTGTGAAATTTATGATTTCAAGTCTAAGATTCTCTTTTCGAAAGATTTTTGAATTCAGACATTTCTGTACGGCAGAAATATTTTTCCATTTTTGTGTATTTATTTCCTCAATAAATATGAAGTTTGTCCAGAAATTTTACTATCAAAGAAGAATGAATGCCATACTTGTTTCTTTTTTAGTATAACTTTGTAGGTCGTTTCATATAAACGTGAATTGAAAAGAATTTTCAGCTTAGTTGGTGGCGTACATAATTTCCCATATTTCATTAATATAGTTATACAAATATCTAGAAGAATGAGTTTGCCTTCGATTCGATATGTTGAGTGGAAAAGTTATTAGTTTTTGTTCATTTCAATAAAATATTTAGTATTTAGAAAATACTCCTTAAGTAGGTACTGATATTCATCACTGAATGGATTACATAATCCTGGACCAAGTTTCAAACAATCATCAACTCCGAAGTGTTCATCAGTAAAAACGTAAATTATGTTGTTTACATACATTATACAATCATTCCCAAAGACTAAAGAGCATGTACGTTGTGCAAATACAAGAATGAAATAAAGGAATGTAAATCTTGTAAATAAAACTGTAAATACCACATTATTTGTTTGAATTTTTCTAGTATAGATAAAAGTACATTGAACAGAATCAGTTCATAACTTTGCTTGTGTGGGTTATTGAACCAAAAGTCTAATTCATGAAAACCATGAGAAGCTAGTAGGTATAGTCTATATGAAATCAATCCGAACAGCTAAATAAAAGACTAATGTATAGTTCAAGTAAACATTCAATTTTCCCCAAATCAACTTGATGGGATTAAAAACACAAAAAAAGGGAGAAAGTCTCAGTGTGGTGTGTCCATACTTTTCAGCAATACTCTCTAGTAGTTGTTTTTTACTATAGTAAGCTTCAAAAATACAAATTGTAAGCCATTAAAAAACTTTGTATTTCAACTTTCCTCGAATTTTTATTCGGTACTTTGATGAGCTGCCGCGAATGATAGGAAGCGATGTCAAGAACTATCACACTATTCGCATCCAAATTTGGAATCAATGTGTTTTCAAACCATTCCTCGAAAGTATTAGCATACATGTTCTTATGATAGTCAACATTGCAGTCGTAAAGTTTTTTCCACATAATTTCAAAGAATTCCGAACCCATCCTTCACTTCCTCCGCAATGCACAATGATTAGTCGCGATCCTTTGTTTGCAGGCATGTTAAGCGTACACATTTTCGAACCATCAGTCCACCCTTTCGTAACTGTGTCGTGAAAATTTGCCGTTGTTCTTGTCTATATTTAGTTATTCGTTTTAAGTATTTGTTATGCAATTCCACTATTCTTCTGCTTTTCATAACTGTTTGGCGTTCGTTTATTATTTTAAATATAAATCTCTGTTTCTCCACACTGATAAGTCCTAGGAAGCTCAAACTTGGTATATAAGTGCTTTTTAAGTACTTCGTGCACACTAAGAAAGGATTTTCAAATATTCCAACTGGGGAGCCACCCGTGGGGGTAAAAAGGTGCCTTTATATATGAAAATTAAATTTTCATCACTGTTTCTCCGTACCGTTATATTTTTGAAAGTTGAAATTTTGTATGTAGGTTCGTTCCATGTTGTAGATGTGGAATAAGAAGAGATTATTAAATATTCCAACTGGGGAGCTAGCCGCGAAGGGGAAGGGCGCGTTTATGTAATTATCTCTAATATACATTTTACTGTATTTGTTCATAATGTGATATCTCCTTACAGCATGTAATTTGAATGAATATTTTCGAAGATTTACAGATTTACATAGCGGTTGCGGCGGTACCGGACCAATTATATGTCGCTCTTTAAAGAGAAACATCTAAAGGAAATATTTTTGTATTGTCTACTGACAAAAAAGCTGTGGGAGTTGTATATAAAGAGATCCCGGCCGGGTCGTTATTAATTATATATAATGAATTATCAAATTACGGTAAACAATTTTCCGCATAGGAAAAATTCAGATTAGCTGCAAAGAACTTTTTAACATATTCAAAAACACTTCATTGTGAGATTTTCACAGTTTTACGAAAACGTAACACGTGTTTCGCCATACAATGGCTTCTTCGGGCGCGTCTTTACTAACTATATATTCTACATATTCAATGCTTGATATACCCAACTCAGTGCCTTAGTTTTACCTAAGTTGTGATGCATTAAATCACCTGAGCTTTTGTCCAAGTTTCCATATTTGAAAAAATATTGAGTAAGGGGAAGTTATTCAATTCTAATTGAACTTTCAGTAAATTACCCGAATTCTTGAATCTATTGATTTCTAAACATTCTAGAAGATCGACTTTCAACCTATTCTCTTATGAATATAATATGTCGTATTCATGATGAAACTCATGTCCTTCTGCTAAAAAGTGATTTGCAAATGTGGAATTGGTCTTTTTATTTACAAGCCTACTTCCACGATATTTATTGCTTTGGAAAACTGTTCTCCCTGTTTGGCCAATATACAGTTTTGGGCAAAAACTACAAGTCAGCTCGTGTACACCTGATCTCTTTATATGTATCTGTAGAGTGAGATGAGTGTAAGCCCACAGCACTTAGGCCACATATGGCCCATTGTACATCCTCCCGAGGAGTTGTCCTCCTAGGTCATCGTCCACCCTGTCCTTTCCAGGAAGGTGGACAGGTCACTGGGAGACATCTCCTTCATATCGGTAGGTGTAGGCCAAGACTCGCCGAACACACAGTCTCTTATTGACGATAACTCGGGCACTCGCATAGGACATGCCTGACAGTCTCATCTTCCTATTCACACATCCTGCTTAGAGGTGTGTCCACTAGCCCCATATTATGGAGGTGTTTCCTTAGTTGACAGTGGCCAGTCAGAAATCCTACTGTCAAGCGTAGATTTTTCCTGGTCATCGCCAGATATTTCTTCGGCGCCAGCTTCCCAGGGTGATCCTGGGGCCACTGGGACCTAAAATTCTTAGTCCAGCCGCTTCCTTGGCTAAAGAGTCGGCAATGCGACAGGTGTAAAGGTAACACCTGTCATGCCCTTTAACCCACCTCAGGATAATGTTAATATCTACCGGGGCTTTGGCTAAATCTTAGTGGGACTCTAGTACTAGCCCCGAATTAACATATTGTCTGTTCAAGGTGAATAGGGCTTGTCTGCTGTCAGTGCAGACTGTTATGTTTTTGCCAGAAATTCCTTTCCTGGTTATTTCTTTTATGGCGATTGAGATACCAGCCAGTTCTGTTTGGACCACGCTGGTATTTTTTTAGGCTTAGTGATCTGGAGTACACTCCTGATCTATCTATATAAAAATAATGGAAATAAAGTTTGTGAAGATCAAATCGTAATGTGTAGTTTATGGAATTACTATGGTTCTTCATCAAGTAACGGCCATATCAATCAGAAGATTAATCATATTTGTTTGTTTTTTAGACCAATTCTGAAATAGCTCCTTTCGAAGTTAAATATTTATGTAAAAATAATTTTTTGTATGAATTATCCTCTGTATAAACTATTGTAGTTTCTTGGGAACAAATAAATAAACTTCAGTGAAGAAAGACGGAAAAAACATTGTGTTCTCATTTTTAATTCGTCTTATCTGAAAAGCCAGTTCTTGATTTCGACACGTTATTTCGTTCCTATTTGCCATGAACTGATAAATATAATACCCTGTATTTAGTTGTCGGCACGAACATTGAAGGGATTCGAAATGGTATAGTATTACTTCATCTTTTTTACGGGGAAATAGATATACGGAAACCTAAAACTCTTTAGACATTACCCAGCAAGACTCTCCACGAAACCTTTCAGTTTTCACTCCTATTTCGCTGTGTGCGTTTACCAGTATTTGTTTGACAAATATGAGTGATAACGTTTCCAAAGTTATAATCATAGGTAGTGGGTTGGTAAGAATATTACTCAGCAAGAAAATGGAAAATGGAACGAAATTTTACCAAAATTTCAGGTAGGATCCTTATGTGCATGCTTCATGGCCAAAAGAGGATATGATGTGGAGGTTTATGAGAAAAGAGAAGGTAAGAAACTTTCGAAATGAGTTAGAGAAAATCAGTGATGCATATTCAACATAGATTTATGGATATGGTCCTTGTTGATATCAGTTTGTTTTCTTATGCAGTGATATTTTGCTGAGTTTTCCTATTCACAGAATCTGCATCAATGTATAATGGCCGAATCGAAAATTACCGCAGATGAAATGACTTCAGGTTATGATCCTGAAAATTTTGAGAATGAATACTTATACAGAGAGTAACAAAAAGGTGGGATCATTGATTGAACCGCATATTCTGGGGTCAAAAATAACTCAAATATAACTTACATTGATGCAAATGTGCACCCAAAATAAATTACAGCCCTGGGAAAGTACAGAATGAAAATCGATTTTTTCCAATATTTCATGATCTGTTGTAATGAAAATAGATTCATGGCTATCTTATCCTAAGAGCATGATATATGTTCAACCCATACAAATTTTAGAGGGGTATTGACCCCCTAAAACCCACCAAAAGTTACTATACGTTACAATGAAATTTGCATTGTGATACCATGGATTTAATACATCATTTTTGAAAATGTTTTACAACTTTTTTGAAAAGCCAGTTCATATCGAGATGCGGGCTCTTTTTCATTATACTTCATTATCCTGTTCAACACTTGTAGTTACTATAGGTTAGGTTACGTTAGGTCAAAAGTGAGTGAGATTCGATCCTCTACCGCAGCCTGCAAGGGTTTATTGTGGCTCACACCTATTCAAACTCGAGCAAATAAACCCATTTTCTTGACAAAGACGATAAGTTCATATGGTGAGTGATCTTTCAGGTTAGATGATAGGAGTGTAGTTCTACCAAACTCTGAAAACCTGATTAGGTCTGCAGCGGGGCAGGCACAAAGTATGTGCTCTGCTGTTTCATCATTTTCCAGAGGCGACACATACTGTCTTTCGACAGTCCGAGTCTCTGCATATGATGATTCAAACGACAGTGACCTGTAAAAAGGCTTATTAGACATCGTAGTTCATTCTTACTGTAGTCCAACAACTGTTTGGTTTCAAGCTTCGAAGGGTGAATAAATGCCTTGGAGTGAGCCAATCCTGGAAGATTACTGCAGCTACATCCTACAAGGACGTTTTCAAACGAATAGAATAAATAGTATAATTAACTTTGTGAGCTGCAACGCCTAAAGGTTGAAGATACTTTCACATGTAGACAAATCGATGTTAGGATTACTAAGCCAATATCTAAGGACTCTACCCAATGGATAGCGATATTTCCAAATAAAACGACAATCCACCTATAATGTAACGAATGAGAGGAAGTTCAAAGAATAATGGGATTCGTTTCAATTGACATCCCAGTAGGCTGCAAAATCAAGGCGAATCAAATCGAAATAATTCATGAAGAAAGGATAATCAATAACAGTCAAATAATATTGATTACCGAATTCAACCAAGACTACAACCCTCTAAAAAATGTAAATATGAGCTTTCAATTGGACGACGATGACCTGCAAGACCTCCAAAACCTTAAAAATCAGCTAATTGATAACAATCTTGAAATAAAATTCAGCCAAGGGGACTTTACAGATC